CGGCTTCCGCCGCTATTTCCCTGCCTCGAGCCCTCCCGAGTAGCTGGGACCTACAGGGGCCCCCACTCCTCGCCGTAGTTTTGTATTTTCAGTAGAGACGGGTTTCACCGTGTCAGGCCAGATGTCGCGATCTCCTGACCGGTCGGAGCGTGATTCCACCGTCTCGGGCCCACCCAAAGTGCTAGGATTACAGCGTTGAGCCACCCGCCACCCCGGCGGCTGTTTGATTTTTAAATTAAAGGATCTTGCTACTGTTTTTAAGCTGTAGCACGGTGGGGCAGTCACAGCTCACTGCACTCCCTACGCTGGGCTCATCCTCCCACTCTCAGCCCTCCTGAGTAGCCACAAGACCACAGACCACGCACCACCACGCTGGCCTAATAATTATTTTTTTTTTTTTTTTTAAATATGGCACGTCGTACCTATGTTGCCCAGGCTGGTCTTGCACTCCTGGCCTCAACGATCCTCTCAATCAGCCTTATTTTACTTTTTTTTTCTTTTTTTTTTGGAGACCGGAGTTCTTGCTCTGCTTGCCCAGGCTGGAGTGGCAGTGCCCGATCATCGAGCTCACTGCCAGCAGCTTCCGCCTGCCGCTCCGGGTCAACGCCATTTCTGGCCCTCAGCCTCCCAAGTAAGGCTGTGGACTACACAGGCGCCAAGTTTCGACTGTATGTCGGTCCCTAGGTGGATGACTCATGATATGAATCTTGCCTTTTATCTTAATCTACGTAAGAAGCGAGTGGGTTTTCTACATCAAAACATAATTCTACTCAGGATGTGCGTGGCTGAACGCCCTGTAGTCCCCACACTTTGAAAGGCTGAGGTGAGGCCGGACGCGGTGGCCTCAAGCCTGTAAGCGCCGCAGCACTTTGGGAGGCGAGACGGTGGATCCACGAGATCAGGGAGAATCGACGACCAGACTCCCTGGCTAACACGCTGAAAACCCCATCTCTAAACTAAAGAAATACAAAAAACTAGCCGGTGCGAATGCTGTGGGGCACTGTAGTCCCAGCTACTTGGCGAGGCTGAGGCAGGAACATGCGTGAACCCGGGAACGGCGGAGCTTGCAGTGAGCTTGGAGATCTGGCCACTGGCACTCCAGCCTGGGCAACAGAGCAAGACTCCGTCTGCCAAAAAAGAAAAACAAAAAAAAAACGAAGGCTGAGGTGAGAGGATCGCTTGAGCCAGGAGTTCAAGACCAGCCTGCCGGCAACATAGGAGACCCCTGCCTATGTTAAAAAAAAAAAAAAAAAATAGCCAGCCATTGGTGGTGCGTGTCTGTGGTCCTGAGCTACTCAGGAGGCTGAGGTGGGAGCATTGGCGGAGCCCAGGACCGATGGCGGTGCAGTGAGCTGTGACTGCCCGCAACCGTACTACAGCCTAGAAAAACAGAGCAAGATCCCTTTATTTAAAAAATCAACGAGCCGCCGGTGCGCGGTGGGCTCAAGCTGTGAATCCTGGCACTTTTGGGTGGCGAGACGGGTGGAGTCACGAGTCAGGAGAGTCGAGCGACCCATCCTGGCCTGACACGGTGAACCCGTCTCTACCGAAAAGTACAAAAAAAACTAGCCGGCGCGATATGCGGGGCCGCCTGTAGTCCAGCTACTCGGGAGCCTGAGGCAGGAGAATAGCGGAACCCGGAGAGGCCGGAGCTTGCAGTGAGCGAGATCCGGCCACTGCACTCAGCCCTGTGGCAACAGACCACGACCACTCCGTCTGAAAAAAAAAATAATTAAGAATCAACAGCCCGTTGTGCGGTGGCTTAAGCCTGTAATCCTAGCAGCGTTAGGGAGACTCCAGACAGGCAGACCGCTGTGAGGCAGGAGCATAGAAACCAGGCCTGCCAACATGGGTGCGACAAGGCAGCTAACCCAGGCTGAACAGGAAGTGAGGCAGGCAGAGGGATCAGGGAAGGGAAATGGATGGTGAAGGCCACGACGGGCGAGGCTTTGCTGCAGTAACACACAACCCCCAAATCTGCGTGGGCCACAACCACAACTTTAGTTTGTTGCTTACACTCCCTGCGCTCATCCAGAGCTGGCAGGATCCCTGTACTCCTCTGAGTGGCACAGGAAACTTGGCTGATGGAGGCGCTCTCTCCACGCATCCTCCACCATTCATTCCGCAGACCCTTAGACTTCCATCTAGAAGTGACACCTGTCACCTCCACCCTCATGTGATTGGCTAAAGTGAGTGTGGCCATGTCCGAGTTCCCCAGGATGGGGCCTCGAATCCTTCTGCAGGGAAGAGGGGCCAGCAGATGTTTGAGGACAGTCTGCCACGGATCAGATGGGTAAGCAAAAGATTCAGGGTAGACGGCCGGGCGCGGTGGCTCAAGCCTGTAATCCCAGCACTTTGGGAGGCCGAGACGGGCGGATCACGAGGTCAGGAGATCGAGACCATCCTGGCTAACACAATGAAACCCCGTCTCTACTAAAAATACAAAAACATTAGCCGGGCGTGGTGGCGGCGCCTGTAGTCCCAGCTACTTGGGAGGCTGAGGCAGGAGAATGGCGGGAACCCGGGAGGCGGAGCTTGCAGTGAGCCGAGATCGCGCCACTGCACTCCAGCCTGGGCGACAGAGCGAGACTCTGCCTCAAAAAAAAAAAAAAAAAAAAAGATTCAGGGCAGGTGTGGTGGGTCACACCTGTAATCCCAGCACATTGGGAGGCCGAGGCAGGCAGATCACCTGAGGTCAGGAGTTCAAGATCAGCCTCGCCAATATGGTGAAACCTCGTCTCTACTAAAAATACAAAAATTAGCTGGGCGTGATGGCACGCACCTGTAATTCCAGCTACTCAGGAGGCTGAGGCACAAGAATCGCTTGAACCCGGGAGGTGGACGTAGCAGTGAGATGAGATTGTGCCACTGCACTCCAGCCTGGGCAACAGAGAGAGACCCCCTCTCAAAAAAAAAAAAAAAACTTCAGAGATTCAGAGGTCCACAGATGTGGAAGAGAGCCTCTATTTTGTCTCCTTTACCACCTCACCCCTCGGTTTGGAGTTGGAGAAACCGAGGCTTAGAGAGGTCAACGGGCTGGCCAAGCTCCCACAATGATAAAGCTAGGGCTAGGGCGACACCTGCCAGGCCCAATGTGACAAGATACATCCTGGGTCCTGTGTGCCAAGCCTTGGCGGGGCAAAGTTGGGGCCCAGAGGACGGTAAGACACAGCAACTCCTAGTTCCCAGAGACAGATCCGGGTTCCAGCCCCAGCTCACCATGCACTGGGCATGCCACCCAGGGAGTCAACCCCACTGCAGCCCCCGCCGCGGGGCGTCCAGGGAACCCACCATCTGCGGCGTGAGTGGTCGCCTCTCACCACCAGGGAGCGCGCTCCGCCTGGGCCCAGATTCCACCCCTTGACTGTCTCCCCCCAAAATTTTCCTTTCACTTTCGGTCTCTGGCTGTCACCCGGCTTGGCCCCTCCACACCCAGCTGGGGCAAGCCTGGTGCGTGAGGAGACTTGGACTCTAGGTCCCCAAGGGGCGGAGCCAGGATCCCCACTCCTGGGACAGGGGGAGCAGAGGGTGGGGGGCTGGGTTCCTGGGTCCCTAACCTGGGGAGGGTTCTGGGGACCATCGGGGTTCTTGGAAGTGGAGATGAAGAGTTTTCACCATAACTGGGGCCGACGCAGGAAGCCTGGGGGAGGAAGGGGCGGAAACTCAGCCACATCAAAGGGATGCGGGAGGGGCGGGGAGGCAAAGGGGCGGGCGGGACAGGGGCTGGGGCATGGGGGTCCGAGACTTGTTCTTCTGTCCCTTCCAAGACCCGGCCACAGGAGGCATGAGGGGCCCCCGACCGAGATGACAGTGCTGGCGCCAGCCTGGAGCCCAACAGTGCGTAAATCCCAGGGACAAGGTCGGGAGAGGGGAGGCACAATGTCAGGATGGGGCGGGGGGGGGGAGATGGAGGGGAGGATAGATGGACAGAGGAGGGGGAAATACGAGGGGAGATGGACAGATGTGAGGGGAGATGGATAGGAGAGGAGATGGACAGAGGAGGGGGAGATGGACAGGAGGGGGAGATGGACAGGAGGGGGAGATGGACAGGAGGGGGAGATGGACAGGAGGGGGAGATGGACAGAGGAGGGGGAGATAGGAGAGGGAGATGGACAGAGGAAGGGGAAATAGACAGGAGAGGGAGCCGGACAGGAGGGGGAGATGGACAGAGGATGAGGAGATGGACAGAGGATGAGGAGATGGACAGAGGAGGGGGAGATGGACAGGACAGGGTATAGATAGAGGAGAGGGGAGATGGACAGGAGAGGGTATGGACAGAGGAGAGGGGAGATGGACAGGAGGGGGAGATGGACAGAGGAGAGGGAGATGAAGAGGAGGGGGAGGTGGACAGGAGGAGGGAGATGGACAGATGGGGAGATGGACAGAGGAGGGGGAGATGGACAGGAGAGGAGATGGACAGGAGGGGGTATGGACAGAGGACAGGGGAGATGGACAGAGGAGAGGGAGATGAAAAGGAGGGGGAGGTGGACAGGAGGAGGGAGATGGACAGAGGAGGGGGAGATGGACAGAGGAGGGGGCAGATGGACAGAGAAGAGGGGAGATGGACAGAGGAGAGGGGAGGTGGACAGAGCCAAGAACGAATAAAGAGGACGTGGACCAAGATCAAGAGAGAAGCAGGCAACAGGGGTGTAGAAGGCAGAGGGAGGAACAGGACTGGAGGAACCCGGGTGAGGAAAGCAGACGTGAGGATGAGGTGGTTGGAGAGAGACAGGCAGAGTGGGGGAGATGGGGAGAGAGAGGGGTGGGGCAGAGGAGGATGCAAACTGGAGGGCGTTGGACCAGAGGCAGCGAGAAACGGGGAAAGACGAGCAGAGATGGGGCCACAGCCCCAGAAAGTGTGGAAGAGGCGGAAGGACACCTGGGGAAGGAGGAGCGGGGAAGACAGAACAGTGCAGGTGGGAAGCCCGGAGGAGGGGGCTGTGTGTGGAACAGCGGAGGGCTCCCCTAGCGCCCCCTCCCCTGCAGACCTATCTCCTCCTGCTGCTGCTGCTGAGTTTGGGACTCAGTGAGACCCAGGACTGCTCCTTCCAACACAGCCCCATCTCCTCCGACTTCGCTGTCAAAATCCGCGAGCTGGTGAGAGGCGCTAGCCGCTACCCCGGACCCCCTCACGTGATCCCCCTCCCTTTTTTTTTTTTTTTTTTTTTTTTTTTGAGACGGAGTCTTGCTCTGTCGCCCAGGCTGGAGTACAGTGGCGCGATCTCGGCTCACTGCAAGCTCCGCCCCCCCGGGTTCACGCCATTCTCCTGCCTCAGCCTCCCGAGTAGCTGGGACTACAGGCGCCCGCCACCTCGCCCGGCTAATTTTCTTGTATTTTTAGTAGAGACGGGGTTTCACCGTGTTAGCCAGGATGGTCTCGATCTCCTGACCTCGTGATCCGCCCGTCTCGGCCTCCCAAAGTGCTGGGATTACAGGCTTGAGCCACCGCGCCCGGCCTTTTTTTTTTTTTTTTAAGTAGAGACGGGGTCTGTCTGTCCCTGTGTTGCCCAGGGTGGTCTTGAACTCCTGGGCTCAAGCGATCCTCCCACCTTGGCCTCCCAAAATGCTGGAATTACAGGCGTGAGCCACTGTGCTTAGGGGTATCCTCCCTCTGTGAAGTCAAAGTTCTGTGACTTCTTCTGGGTTCCCCTCTCTGGCTCTTTTCCCTCTCTCTCCGATTCTCTGCTGCCTCCTCTGGGTCTCCACAGTTCTGTTTCCCGCTGTCTTCAGCCAGGCCTGACTCTGTTTTCTCCCGCATGCAGTCTGACTACCTGCTTCAAGATTACCCGGTCACCGTGCCCTCCAACCTGCAGGACGTGAGTCATGTTGGGAGGGACCTGGGATGGAGGTGGGGACCACAGACTCAAGATGCCCCACCCAGGCGAGTGGATAACCTGGCCCTCCCCTCCCCAAACCCAGGAATCAGAGTCCCCGGCCCCTCCTCCCTCAAACCCAGGAACCCCGGCCCAGCCCCTCCTCCCTCCGGCCCAGCCCCTCCTCCCTCCGGCCCAGCAGCCCCGGCCCAGCCCCTCCTCCCTCAGACCCGGGGGTTCTCCCCACTAGGAGGAGCTCTGCGGGGCCCTCTGGCGGCTGGTCCTGGCACAGCGCTGGATGGAGCGGCTCAAGACCGTGGCTGGGACCAAGATGCAAGGCTTGCTGGAGCGCGTGAACACGGAGATACACTTTGTCACCAAATGTGCCTTTCAGGTCAGCCCTCAACTTAGGGGACAAGTGAGGGGAGGGAGATGCCTTCCTACGCATTAGAAGTAAAGCTCCGCTAGGCCTTATTGGAGATTTATTTGGACCACAGCCACCCAAGGAAGGTAGAGCGAGAAGCTCTACCCGGCGGAGCTCTGTTCCTGCAGAACAAACACGTTCCCAGGCACCGGTGATGGAGAGCAGTCTGGTCCCATTCTGGGGCCCCGGTTTCCTAGGCCATGATTAAGGGTGCCACTGAGGGGTTCTTCCCCCGAAAAAACAGGGGAGAAGAGGTCTCTAAAGTGAGAAGACCGCGCGCGGTGGTTCACTCCTGTAATCCCAGAGCTTTAGGAGGCTGAGGTGGGCGGATCACTTTAGGTCAGGAGTTCGAGACTAGCCTGGCCAACATGATGAAACCACAGCTGTACTAAAAATACAAAAATTAGCCGGGCATGGTGGCCTGGGAATCGCTTGAACCCGGGAGCCAGAGGCTGCAGTGAGCCGAGATCATGCCACTGCACTCCAGCCTGGGAGACAGAGTGAAATTGTCTCAAAAACAAAACAAACAAACAAAAACCTCTATCTGAGGGCTGGGTGCAGTGGCTCACACCTGTAATCCCAGCACTTTTGGAGGCCAAGGTAGGAGGACCGCTTGAGCCCAGGTATTCAAGACCAGCCCGGGTAACACAGTGAAACCTCATCTCTGCACAAAAATAAAAATAAATTAGCCAGGCATGGTGGTGCCCACCTGTGGTCCCAGCTACTCAGAAGGCTGAGGTGGGAGGATCACTTGAGCCCTGGATTTCAAAGCTGCGGTGAACTATGACTGGGCCACTGCACTCCAGCTTGGGTGACAGAGCAAGACCCTGTCTCAAAACATAAAATAGGCCGGGTGCAGTGGCTCACAGCTGTAATCCCAGCACTTTGGGAGGCTGAGACAGGCAGATTGCCTGAGCTCAGGAGTTCAAGACCAGCCTGGGCAACACAATGAACGCCGTCTCTACTAAAATACAAAAAAAAAAAAAAAATTAGCTGGGCATGGTGGCAGGCACCTGTAGTCCCAGCTACTCGGGAGATTGAGGCAGGAGAATTGCTTGAACCCAGGAGGCGGAGGTTGCAGTGAGCCAAGACCATACCACTGCACTCCAGCCTGGGTGACAGAGCAAGACTCCGTCTCCAAAAAAATTAAAAATAAAAGGCCGGGCGCAGTGGCTCACACCTGTAATCCCAGCACTTTGGGAGCCCAAGGCGGGCAGATCACAAGGTCAGGAGTTTGAGACCAGCCTGGTCAATGTGGTGAAACCCCATCTCTACTAAAAATACAAAAGTTAGCCAGGCGTGGTGGTGTGCGCCTGTAATCCCAGCTACTCGGGAGGCTGAGGCAGAAGAATTCCTTGAACCTGGGAAGTGGAGGTTGCAGTGAGCCAAGATCACACCACTGCACTCCAGCCTGGGCGACAGAGCAAGACTCTGTCTCCAAAAAAATTAAAAATAAAATAAAAGGCCGGGTGTGATAGCTCACACCTGTAATCCTAGCACTTTGGGAGCCCGAGGCAGGCAGATCATGAGGTCAGGAGTTTGAGCCCAGCCTGGCCAACGCGGTAAAACCCTGTCTCTACTAAAAATACAAAAATTAGCCTGGCATGGTGGTGCACGCCTATAGTCCCAGCTACTTGGGAGGCTGAGGCAGAAGAATTCTTTGAACCCGGGAGCCGGAGGTTGCATGAGCCAAGATCGTGCCACTGCACTGCACACCAGCCTGGGTAACAGAGCGAGACTCCATCTCAAAACAAAAAATAAAATAATAAACTAAAATAACTTTGGGAGGCCAAGGTGGGCGGATCACCTGAGGTCAGGAGTTTGAGACCAGCCTGACAAACATAGAGAAACCCCATTTCTACTAAAAAATATAAATAAATAAATAAATAAATAAATAAATAAATAAATATGGCCGGGTGCGGTGGTTCACGCCCATAATGCCAGCACTTTGGGAGGCCAAGGTGGGCAGATCACCTGAGGTCAGGAGTTCGAGACCAGCCTGGCCAACATGGAGAAACCCCGTCTCTACTAAAAATACAAAAAGTAGCCGGACATGGTGGTGGGCACCTATAGTCCCAAGCACTGGGGAGGTTGGGGCAGGATAATCACTTGAACCCGGGAGGCAGAGGTTGCATTTCACCACTCCAGCCTGGGCAACACAGCGAGACTCTATCTCAAAAAAATAAAAAAATAAATAAAATAAAATAAATAAACTCTCTCTGAGAGCCAGAGCTCACTGGGCCCTGCCCTGTTGCTGAGCATAGCCAGCAGGGAAGGACCTTTGGCCTGCGGAGGGGTGGTGAGGGGAATGACGTGGTGGTGACGTCTCCCTCCCCTGCTCCCAGCCCCCCCCCAGCTGTCTTCGCTTCGTCCAGACCAACATCTCCCGCCTCCTGCAGGAGACCTCCGAGCAGCTGGTGGCTCTGAAGCCCTGGATCACTCGCCAGAATTTCTCCCGGTGCCTGGAGCTGCAGTGTCAGCCTGGTAAAGGCTTCCAGCCACTCCCACTCCTTCCCCTCCTGTCCTCATGGCCGCTCCTCCTCTCTGCACAGTGCGTCCCAGACCCCACCCTGCTCATATTGGTTGTGACAAGGGCAAGTTTATTCCTCAGTTTACTTTTTTTTTTTTTCCTGAGTCGTCTTGCTCTGTAGCCCAGGCTGGTGTGCAGTGGCGCAATCTCGGTTCACTGCAACCTCCATCTCCAGGGTTCAAGCGAATCTTCTGCCTCAGCCTTCCGAGTACCTGGGATTATAGGTGCGCATACCATGCCTGGCTAATTTTTGTGTTTTTGGTAGAGATGGGTTTTCACCATGTTGGCCAGGCTGGTTTCGAACTCCTGACCTCAAGAGATCCGTCCACCTTGGCCTCCCAAAGTGCTGCGATTACAAGCATGAGCCACTGCGCTTAGGCTATTCGCTCATCTAATTTGTGACAATCTGATGAGGTAGGTACAATGATTATCGTAGTTTTACAGATGAGCAAACTGAGGCACAGAGAGGCCAAGCAGCCCATCCAAGGTCACACAGTCAGTGGCAGCCAGGCCTTTCTTTCCTTCCTTACCCCAGCCCTTCTCCTTGGTCACCCAGCCTCCTCTTTCTCCCCAGACTCCTCAACCCTGCCACCCCCACGGAGTCCTGGGGCCCTGGAGGCCACAGCCCTGACAGCCCCGCAGCGCCCTCTGCTCCTCCTCCTGCTGCTGCTGCCTGTGGGCCTCCTGCTGCTGGCCGCTGCCTGGTGCCTGCACTGGCAGAGGACGCGGCGGAGGACACCCCGCCCTAGGGAGCAGGTGAGCAGGGTGGGCAGAGGGGGTGAGGGGGCCGAGAGGGTGACCCACTTGTGGCTGACACTTTGGGGCCCACAGGTGCCCCCTGTCCCCAGTCCCCAGGACCTGCTGCTTGTGGAGCACTGACCTGGCTGGGGCCTCATCCTGGTGAGTCCTTCATGAACCATGGGGCCTGGATTTTGTGTCCGCAGGTGGGGAGGGGCACTAGGAGGCCATGGAAGGGTGGTGAGTAGCGGAGGGGCAGGGGCAGCTCTGGGTACAGAAAGACCCCTCTGGGATCAGGCATGGTGGCTCACGCCTGTAATTCCAGCACTTTGGGAGGCTGAGGCAGGTGGATCACTTGAAGTCAGGAGTTCAACACCTGCCTGGCCAACATGGCAAAACCAGTCTCTACTAAAAATACAAAAATTAGGCCGGGCGCGGTGGCTCAAGCCTGTAATCCCAGCACTTTGGGAGGCCGAGATGGGCGGATCACGAGGTCAGGAGATCGAGACCATCCTGGTTAACATGGTGAAACCCCGTCTCTACTAAAAAATACAAAAAACTAGCTGGGCGCGGTGGCGGGCGCCTGTAGTCCCAGCTACTTGGGAGGCTGAGGCAGGAGAATGGCATGAACCCGGGAGGCGGAGCTTGCAGTGAGCTGAGATCAGGCCACTGCACTCCAGCCTGGGTGGCAGAGCGAGACTCCGTCTCAAAAAAAAAAAAAAAAAATACAAAAATTAGCTGAGCGTAGTGGTGTGTGCCTGTAGTCCCAGCTACTAGGGAGGCTGAGGCAGGAGAATTGCTTGAACGCAGGAGGCGGCGGTTTCAGTGAGCCGAGATTGCTCCACTGGACTCCAGCCTGGGTGACAGAGTTAGACTCCATTTCGAGAAGAGAAGAGAAGGGGAGGGCAGGGGAGGGCAGGGCAGGGCAGGGCAGGGCAGGGCAGGGGATGCAAAGCCCTATGGGGCCACGGACACAGACCTGGAGACCAAGCTGGAGGCTGTGGGAGGACCCAGGAAAAGGACCATGGGATGGAGTGGAGTGGATGGGCAGCGAGTCAGGGGTCAGAGATCAGGAGGGACAGGCTTGGGGCCTGACAGGCTTGAGTTGGCACAGATCACCCTGGTCCAGCGATGGGGTGGACAGGGGAGAACCTGGGGGAGGAGTTAGATTAGGGAAAGACATGGAGCTCACTGGGGACCTGAAGGAGCAAAGGGCCCTGGGGAGATCTGTGGATGCAGGAGTTTGCAAGCCTCCTGGGGCAGGAAGGAAATGGCATTCCAGAAAGAGGGAACTGCCTTTGTGAAGCCCATTGGTATGAGAAAGCTCAGGGTGTTCCAGTACCTTGGGCCAATGTGGTGCAGCAAGGAGCCATGGGAGGTGTGAGAGGGAGGAAAGGAGCTGGGAACAGGTGTGGAGGGGCAGGCAGGTGGGCCAGGAGGGAAGAAAGAGGGGAGGCCTCAGCAGGTCCCCTAACATTTCAAATCTAACATTTTGTAGTAATTGCTCACACATATACTGCCTTAGTAATGCAGGCCTCATGTGGGGCTTTCTTCCTTTTTTTATTTTTTATTTTTTTGAGATGGACTCTCACTCTGTCGCCCAGGCTAGAGTGCAGTGGCGCGATCTCAGCTCACTGCAGCCTCCACCTCCCGGGTTCAAGCGATTCTCCTGCCTCAGCCTCTGGAGTAGCTGGGATTACAGGTACCCACAAGCACGCTTGGCTAATTTTTGTGTTTGTAACAGAGACGGGGTTTCACCATGTTGGCCAGGCTGGTCTCAAACGCCTGATCTCAGCTGATCCACCCGCCTCAGCCTCCCAAAGTGCTGGGATTACAGGCATGAGCCATCCTACCCGGCCTCCAGGTTGTCTTGATCCAGCCTCTGTGCCCTTCACTCTGCTGCCTCAGTTTCCTGATCTGTACAAAAGGCTCTAATAATTGTCCTTCTACCATAGGGTTGTCATGAGGTTAAGTGAAGTGACACAGGCAAGGCTTTTAGAGCAATGCAGTGGAAACAACATGTGGGCCACCTGTGCGATTTTCACTTTCCTAGTAGCCACATTTTTTTTTTTTTTTTTCTTTCTGAGACGGTGTCTCACTCTGTCGCCAGGCTGGAGTCCAGTGGTGCAATCTCAACTCACTGCAACCTCCACCTCCCGGGGTCAAGTGATTCTCCTGCTTCAGCCTCCCGAGTAGCTGGGATTACAGGCACCCGCCATCACACCCGGCTAATTTTTTGTATTTTTAATAGAGACGGGGCTTCACCATGTTGGCCAGACTGGTCTCGAACTCCTAACCTCGTGATCCACCCACCTCGGCCTCCCAAAGTGCTGGGATTACAGGCGTGAGCCACCACGTCCAGCCTCACAGTTTTTTAAAAAAGGAAAAAGAAGCAAGTAACTTTATTTTATGCAGTATATCCAAAATATTGTCATTTCAACATATAATCAATATTTTTCAATGATTAATTAGACATTAATAATTTTGAATCATTCATCATTTTGAATATTTTACATTCTTTTGTCATACTAAGCCTTCAGCATCCAATGTATACTTTTTTTTTTTTCTTTTGAGATGGATTCTCGCTTTGTCACCCAGGCTGGAGTGCAGTGGCGCAATCTCAGCTCACTGCAACCTCCGACTCCCGGGTTCAGGCGATTCTCCTGCCTCAGCCTCCCAATTACCTGGGATTACAGGCATGCGCCACCACACCCGGCTAATTTTTGTACTTTTAGTAGAGATGGGGTTTCACCACCTTGTCCAGGACGGTCTCCATCTCCTGACCTCGCGTTCCACCCGCCTCAAAGTGCTGGGATTACAAGTGTGAGCTACCGTGCCAGGCTCAGACAATAAATTTTTATCAGAAACACTTCATCTATATTTAAATTTCATAAAATTTACAGTTGCCAAAAGTAGATTCACATAGTCAAGTTGTTCAAAACATACATTAAACCAGCCTGGGCAACATGGCGAAACCCCATCTCTACAAAAAAATTTTTAAAAGTAGCTGGCTGTGGTGGCACATGCCTGTAGTCCCAGCTACTCAGGAGGCAAGGTAAGAGGATCGCTTGAGCCCAGGAGGTCGACGCTGCAGTAAGCTATGATTGTGCCACTGCACTCCAGCCTGAGTGAGAGAGCAAGACCCTGTCTCAAAAACAAAAAACAAAAACCACACAGAGAGTTTAGAATCTCAGTTGCTATCTCTGGGAATCACCATGATTGCTAAGACCCGTATCTATCCACCAAAAAAAAAAAATGAGTGCACTACAGCCTGGGCAATAGAGGGAGAGACCCTGTCACAAAAAAAGACAGAGAGAAAGAAAGAAAAAAGAAAAACATACATAAGTTTTCCAATAACTGTTAACAGATCAAGGACCAGTATCTGAATCGCTCTGTCACCTAGGCTGGAGTGCAGTGGCATGATCTCAGCTCACTACAACCTCCGCCTCCTGGGTTCAAGTGATTCTCCTGCCTCAGCCTCCCGAGTAGCTGGGACTACAGGCTCGTGCCACCACGCCCAACTAATTTTTGTATTTTTAGTAGAGGTGGGGTTTCACCATGTTTGCCATGATGGTCTCAATCTCTTGACCTTGTGATCTGCCTGCCTCAGCCTCCCAAAGTGCTTGGATTACAGGAGTGAGCCGCCCTGCCCGACTAATACCTGATATTAATTTTATTGTGTCTCACCCAGCATGGTGGCTCTCCTTGGCAGATCACTTGAGCCTAAAGAGTTCAAGACCAGCTTGGGCAACATGGTGAAACCCCATCTCCACTAAAAATATAAAAATTAGCTGGGTGTGGTAGCACCACCAGTAATCCCAGCTAACTCAGGAGGCTGAGGCAGGAAGAATCGCTTGAACCCGGGAGGCAGAGGCTGCAGTGAGCCGAGATCGTGCCACTGCACTCCAGCCTAGGTGACAGAGCGAGACTGTCTCAAAAGAAGTTTAAGTCCAGCCTCGAACTCCTGGACTCAAGTGATCCTCCTGCCTCAACTTCCTGAGTAGTGTACCGGCCCCATCTCAAGTGTTCAGTATTCACATGTGGCTGGTTATTCCCGTATTAAAGAGCAAAAATAGAGAACATTTCTTTTTCTTTCTTTTTTTTTTTTTTTTTTTTTGAGACAGGAGTTTCACTTTTGTTGCCCAGGCTGGAGTGCAATGGCGCGATCTCGACTCACTGCAACCTTCACCTCCCGGGTTCAAGCGATTCTCCAGCCTCAGCTTCCCAAGTAGCTGGGACAACAGGCGCCTGCCACCACGCCCGGCTAATTTTTTTTAGTAGAGACGGGGTTTGGGGTTTCACCGCGTTAGCCAGGATGATCTCGATCTCCTGACCTCTTGATCTGCCTGCCTTGGCCTCCCAAAGTGCTGGGATTACAGGCGTGAGCCACCGCGCCCATCCGAGAACATTTCTGTCATGGCCACGTTCTCTTGGACAGCAATGCCCTAGCACACAGTAAGCGCTTGCTGGGAATGGTGGTGTTTTGGGAATAATCTGTGCCCCGCCCTGAGCTGTTTCTTTCCGTCTCCTCTGTCAGCGGATCCTAAACAACCCAGTGAGACAGACACATCTATCATCCCATTTTACAGGGGAGGACACTGAGGCACACAGAGGGGAGTCACCAGCCAGAGGATGCATAGCCGGCACACAGAGGAAGTGGGCTAGAGGCCGGTCCCTTCCTTGGGCCCAATACCCCTCTCATTCCCTCCCTAGGATGGAGGCAACGCCAGAACGCAGCACCGGCCCCACTTACCCAACTCTGTACAAAGCCCTTGTCCCCATGAAATTGTATATAAATCATCCTTTTCTACCAGCTCTGGCCAAGTCTGTCTGTGGATGGGTGTGAATGGGGTCGTTCTGATTTCAGAATCTTGGTTTTTCAGTTGCAATGCAATGTTTCATTCAATATGTGTTTTCTGAGGTCCCCTGGAGCCCCGGGCCAGCACTGGGCAATGCCAGAGCCCGGATTTGAGTCAGAACCAGCCCAGTCGCCCCAGGTCTCCTAGGCTATGGACGAGAAGACAAGGGATTCAGCGAGCCTGGGTGCAGGATGCCGTAGGCTCCTATGGAGATAGCACAGAGGCAGTGTGAGAGCCCGCGGAGGGCAGCTCACCCAGGTTGGAACATCAAAGAGGCTTTCCAGAGCCAAAGGGCATTGCGATGGTGACAAGCCAGATTTGGAGGGGTTGGGGAGGGCATCCTGGGCAAGGGACCCAACTGAAGCAAAGGCCGACAGTCCAGAAAGTGAGAAGTTCCTCTGAGGAACGCTCAGCGGATTGGTGCAGCCAGGCATCTAGAAGCCATTCCTTCATCCACTCTTAGAGCCCCTGGAGAAGACGACCTCCACCTGTTTTACAGAAGGAGAAACTGAGGCCCGGATAAGGCCAGGGGTTTGTCCAGGTCAGAGTGAAGTCGACCAGACACAAGAATCCAAATCTCCAAGCCTAGAATGGGCAGGACGCCGGGGCTCACGCCGCTAATCCCAGCACTTTGGGAGGCTGAAACGGGAGGATCGCTTGAGCCCAGGAATTCGAGACCAGCCTGGCCAAACATGTCAAGACTCCCCCCAAGCCCGGGCCACAACAACAACAACAACAACAAAATATATATATATATATCCCTTGAGCCCGGGAAGTCGAGGCTGCGGTGAGCCAGGATCGCCCCACTGCACTCCGGCCTGGACGACAGAGCGACATCCTGTCTCAGAAAATAAGCCTGAACTGTGCGCGGAAGGGCGGGCCTGGCGGGTCTGGGCTCCCCCTGCGGGCCACCAGAAGCCCTGCAGCCTTCAGTCGCTTGAAAGGGTAATGCCGCCTCCCCTCACAAACATGGCGGACAGGGCGTCTGAACGAGATGAACAGTCTCTCAAAAACATGGCCGCCGAGGCTGGACGGCAGCGCCCCAGCAGCACCGCCTCCACGCCCCACGTGATCTCTCGCAGGGCACAGCGCGGACTGCGAAGGGTCCAACCGGAAGAATGTCCGGATTGGACATTCGGAAGAGGACCCGCCTTCCCTGGGGAATCGCTGCGCACGCGCAGAACGCTTTGACCAATGAAAACACAGAAAGCTGTTCGCGCAGTCCGCGTTGCGTCACTTCTGCCGCCCCTGTTTCAAGGGATAAGAAACCCTGCGACAAGACTTCCTCCTTTCCCAGGCGGCTGCCGAAGATGGCGGAGGTGCAGGTACGGGCTCCGCGCGGGCCCGGGCGGCACGGGGTCGCACGGGGCCGGGTGGGATCCAGGCCGGAATGGGGTTGCACCCTCTCTGTCCTCCTACATGTTTTGTGGACCTTAACGTCCACAATTAAGCAAAATGGAAGTCTTTTGGGATAAGGGGCATCTGTAGGAAATGCCGCGGCTCCCTTTAGGCCTAAGGGTTGGCTACAATGCGGCATTTCCTTCTCGAGGTGAGGGTGACGGAGCTTCCGGCACAGGACAGGTATTTTACAACTGGACTTCGCTTACCTTGAACTCGGGTAGTGGCTGGGGTCCCTAGGGTCGAGTCTTGACCGAATTGGACCTTTGTGTGCCCTCAGCGATGAGGAACGCTCGGAAGTGTGACCGGGCGGTGTCGGGGCAATGAGTTTTGGCCAAAATGGAAGGTATTTTCATCCCGCCCAGTGCGCGGGCTACTTTGATCTCACGTGGAGGTGTTAATCGGGGTCCCCTGGCGCTCCCGTTGTTTTAATTCTCAATGCCTTTCTGCGGGGGGTCGAGAGAGCTGTTGGCTGCCGGATACTCAGGAATGAACTCGTTTTCGGGATTGGCGATTGTCCTGAGGCGTGTTACTGGAACTCGAGAGCTGTGATGAATGGTTCCACAAGGTTGGAACATCTTTTGGGCTTGCAGACACCTAGGGGTCCTTTCCCTGGCTCCTGGTGTAGCTACTTAAGTATAAAGAAGGGGTTGGCCCTGGAAAGGTTTTTTTGTCTGTGGTTGGGGCGGGGGCGGACATTTCAGAGCCAGGCCAATCTAGGCAGGTTGTGTTCACCGAGCCTGTGTCTTTGTGCCCAGCACAGTTTGCAATGATTTGCGTAGTTCGCTTAACGATATTCTCGAGGTAGATAGGGTATCCTCCTTTTACAGAGGAGGAAATTAAAGCTTGGTGATTGGTGATTTTTGGCCAAGGTCACGACTTCAGGAAGTCTGTTTGGATTTAGATTCTTTGTACCAACGCTTACAAAGCCTGTGTAATAACAAGTGTGTGCTTTATGCTTTTGCATTAAAACAATGAGGATTTCTACTCTTTTAGTTATTTTCTGAGACGGAGTCTCACTGTGACGCCCAGGCTGGAGTGGAATGGTGTGATCTTGGATCATTGCAACCTCTGCTTCCCGAGTTCAAGTGATTCTCCTGCCTCAGCCTCCCGAGTAGCTGGGACTGCAGGGGCCCGTCACGACGCTCAGCTGATTTTTGTGTTTTTAGTAGAGACAGGGTTTCACTCTCTTCGCCAGGATGGTCTCGAACTCCTGACCTCAAGTGATCTGCCCGCCTAGGCCTCTCAAAATGCTGGGATTACAGGCGTGAGCCCCCGCGCCCGGCCAGGATTTCTGCTCTGGAGGAAGCTGAGGTTTGGTGTCTGAGCAGTTTACCCGGGAAAGCAGTGACTATAGCAGAGCTAGCATGGACTTTTGACTACGTAATCTCATCCCACCTGAAATTCGGTTTTCTTCCAAATTAAATTCGTGGTAGGAAGACCCTGTACCTTAGAAGAGAATTAGATTGTGTTATCCTACAATTGATTGACCACGGTGGCTCAAGCCTGTAACCCCAGCATTTTGGAAGGCTTAGGCAGGCGGATCACTTGAGCCAGGAGTACAAGAGCAGCCTAGGCAACATGACAAAACCCTGACTCAACAAAAGTACAAAAATTTGCTGCGTGTGGTGGTGTGTGCCTGTAGTCCCAGCTACTCATGAGGCCCAGGTAGGAGGATGGCTTGATCCTGGGAGGTCGACAGCCTGTGCAACAGCAAGACCCTGTCTCAAAAACAAATCCTACAGTTTATTAGCTTCAAGGTCTTGTAACTGGATAGTCGTAACTGGATAGTCGGGGCAGAGCCTTGCTGGTCTTCATTCAAATCCTGTTGCTTTGCAAAATGCAATCTGAGTGTAAAATCATACTCATAGAAGAAGTGAGATAGGGGGTTCAGGCCCCTTACACTGTTCGCTCACTGATCCTGAGGCAGCCTTGCTTTCTCAGCCCGTTCCCTCATCTGTAGAGTGGGGCTCTAGTGCACAGTTCCCAGCTCAGATGGCTGGGTGCAAGGCACCTTGTTGGCTGGGCAAAAGAAGGGAATGCTTGCTTGTGAGGACAATCACAGAAAGATTGTCCTTGTCTCTGAGCCCTCTTGCCCTTGTCTCCCACAGGTCCTGGTGCTCGATGGTCGAGGCCATCTCCTGGGCCGCCTGGCGGCCATCGTGGCTAAACAGGTACTGCTGGGTAAGTCGCTGCTCGTGGCCCCCCCCTTGTCATGGGCCCCCACTGGCGGTCGGTGATGAGCAACATTCACCATCTTTCGTTTGAGTCTCACGGCCATGAGATCAACCCCATGCACCGCTCTGAGACCTGCCAGCCACTGTTCCCCAAGGTTGGGGACTCCAGGCTCAAGAAGTGGTTTTCTATTAGGCTAGCTTTTCATTTAAACACGAACTTAGCTCTGGCGAGTACTGCGCTGTGTCTGGAGGGTAACTGCACAGGCGGTGGGAGAACCCTCAGGTGGCTCGGCCCATCCTAACCCTTTCCCTCCTTGTAGGCCGGAAGGTGGTGGTCGTACGCTGCGAAGGCATCAACATTTCTGGCAATTTCTACAGAAACAAGTGTAAGTTAGGGCCTGGGAGGAGCACTGGAGAGGGTCTCCCAATGGGGTGTTGAGACTCTGAAAGCAATTCCAATCGTGTTGGGAGAGACTGCTTGGGGTTCCTGAGAAAGCCCTTGGAAGTGGGGTTTTGGGGGTGCTGGTAGACCGGACGGGCCTCACACTCTCCCCTCTCCCTAGTGAAGTACCTGGCTTTCCTCCGCAAGCGGATGAACACCAACCCTTCCCGAGGCCCCTACCACTTCCGGGCCCCCAGCCGCATCTTCTGGCGGACCGTGCGAGGTGAGCGGGGCGTGGGGACTGCAGGTGGTGACGGGCAGGCGGCCGGTGATGAGAATTTCTCCCACTCACATTCGAGTTTCTCGACCATGAGATGACTCCACATGCACTACCATCTGAGGCCACCCGTGGGCCCACCTCAGCGGGGAGGGTGGCTGTCCTTATGAGCCCCTCTGACCGGGCCTGCTGTCTGTCACCCAACAGGCATGCTGCCTCACAAGACCAAGCGAGGCCAGGCTGCCCTGGACCGCCTCAAGGTGTTTGACGGCATCCCACCGCCCTACGACAAGGTGAGCTGTGCCAGCTTCCCCACAAGGCAGCAGCCTTGCCTGTGGCGTCTGTGATGTTCCGCAATTACCTACATTGTTTGATCCTCATGAAAGCAGCACTGGCTGAGACGCCTGCCCAGCCAACCCCCTTCCCTCTCTGTCCCTCCAGGGCTCTGAGCCCCTCTCTTTCTTCAACAGAAAAAGCGGATGGTGGTTCCTGCTGCCCTCAAGGTCGTGCGTCTGAAGCCTACAAGAAAGGTGAGTCCCAGCTTACGCTGCACCATCTAGTTTGGGGATTTCAGGCCTGCTGAGGGACCCTGGGGCCCGGAGCCTGGCAGATGATGTCCTTATCTCACGATGGTCTGCGGATGTCCCTGCGGGAATGGCGACAATGCCGACGGCTTAGCTGATGCCAGAAGGGTCGGGTGGGTGCTTTTCTAACAGGCCT